AGGGTCGGGGTTAATCTGATTTTTATTTGGTTTTCTTCCATGAAGCAATGTTATTGCTCATCACTTTCCTGCCAAGTTTTATTTTCCAATGTTTGGAGTTTTCAATCAGGAAATCGCTATGCAGATGTTGCAAAGTCATTATGTATAGCAACCAGCAGAAAGAAAATCATGTTTAATGAAATATGACCATTGCTGCTGGTGGCATCAGTGGATCTGATCCGGTTTCCTTTGACACTAGAATGAAAATATCAAAGCAAACTGGACTTTTGGATGGACACAAATGGACAATTCTCAAACATGAATGATCTGTTGTCTGTTTCTATGAGACATGGGATTACTAGAGAATGAACTACTTCGCCTGAAAAGCAGAAAAGACTTAGAAAACTTAATTTATGTCTTAATAATGCTTCTCCGACGTAACGCTGTTTCCAGTTCGCTTCCAGTTTGGTTTTGATCTGCTGGTTTCTCTGGGGAACGGCCAGGTGGCAGAACTGGATTAATCTAAACCTGCTGGTTGAACCACAGGAGAAAAAGGTGTTGGTTTATTTATTCAGTTAATGTTGCTGAGAGAAGCAGAGAGGCGATGGTCTGAAACATGTTGGGGTCACGATCAGGAGAAATGACATAAATACACTGTTTAAACTGAATCCATAAAAGTGACGTTTTTTCAAAGAAAAACAGGACTTGTCTGTTCTATCACTTCAGTTATGTTTGTCATTTTTCAGATTTCTGAAGGATTTTCTTATAAGCAGATTTCAAAATAATATTTCTCAGCATTAAACTGTTCCTGCTTCCTGCTTCCTGTTTCCTTCTTCCTGCTTCTTCTCCAACTGAGATTATTTGAAGAAACAGAGGTTAAATTTTAACCTGAGTTCATCCAAACCCACCCCCAGCTCCACCGTCTCTCCTTTCTTCCGACCACACTTTATATAAAGGGCATATATAAGTTTACGAGGTCTGACGCTTGGTCAACCTCATCCTCCTCTTCATCCTCCCTCTCTGCCTTCATCCCTGTTTTACAGGAAGCTGCTCGGTTTGCTCTGCAGAGCTTTGATTCCTTTTCTTTATTGAGATCCATCACTACAGGACAACTTTGCCTTGTTTTTGTTCGGCTGCTTGTTGTTTTATTACAAGAAAATAAGAATGAGCAAGAAAATGGGAGCAAAACGAGATCAGGATTTTTTTATCAGCACACATACATGTGGTTCATTTCCTGGAACAGCTGGAGTCAGCAGGAATCCAGCTGAAAATAAAACTGTCTTTACTGTCACTGCAGTGATGCTGCGAAACCAGAGCTGAAGGAAACATGACAAATATTTACAGAAACATGAATGAGATGTCGTCTTCCTGTCAGTAAAGCCTGGATGACGTCTGGGAGGTTTATTCATTTCACTCAGCAGAAACTGTGTCCGCATGTAGCTGGTGATCTGGCCTCATCCACACATAACCTCCGTTTAATATCACTAACATGATTCATAATGAAAACTGCAGCCTAAGTGGAGATTTGCAAATTCTCATTTTTTGTGTTTGCGTTTGGAAACTGGAGATTTGGAGGTGAAAGCAAGACAGACTGCAACAAATAATGCTGACGAACCGTTACTGTAACCATAGTTACTGTTCGGCCGTAACCATAGTTACTGTTCGGCCGTAACCATAGTTACTGTTCGGCCGTAACCATAGTTACTGTTTGGCCGTAACCATAGTTACTGTTTGGCCGTAGCCATAGTTACTGTTTGGCCGTAACCATAGTTACTGTTCGGAGGAAAGATGACTAATGTTTGTTCAGACACTTTTTACTTGTTTTTTTATAAGCCCAGCTGCTCCATGATTCCCAGTCAACATTATCTCGAGTTTTATTTACGTTGTACTATAAAACAACATTTAAACTAATTCAACTTCTCTGTCTGTGCACACAGCGAATCTCCTGGCGCCACGTTTAATCCCTAACAGGAAGTTTGGTTGTTTTGAAGGATTGTGATTGGCTGAGAGGTGTTAGTTTAGCGCTACACTGCCCCCTGTTGGTTTGGCATGTTTAAAATAAAACTCAGTAATGTAATTCAGTGGATTTGTGTGGATGAAAACTTTTCTCAAGCCAATCAGGCGTTGATGAGATTATTTTATGGAAACGAATATCTTCACTACATAATTTTGCATGTGGACTCGGCCTCATTGTGCAAATAAAAACATATTAACAAATATCTGTTCTCTGCCTATAATTAGGCCAAAGTCAGGTCAAAGTTTAATCAAAGATTTTGATCTCAGAAAGAGCATGAAGTGTTTCCAATGATATTCAGTTCCTAAGTATTAGAAAGTGAATATCAAAATGTTTCTGATGATCATCTGCATCATAGGTTCCACTGAATCATCTTCAAGTTTTAGATTTGTTGTCATTTATCTGAACTTTGCACTTTCTAATCCTTGGATGAAACTACTGGGATGTTCACTTATTTGAAAACTGCAAAATGTTTTGCTCTCAGAAAAAAAAAAAAAAACTTTTCTGCAGCATGACAGGCTTCAAAGAATCTCAAATAAAGGAAGAAATACAGTCATTATTTAGCGACTGCATCATGTTTAATGCATTTGTTGAAAGTCCTTGGGGGGAATGGCTTGATTTTTGGTTGATGGAGTTTACACTGAATTTATTCTAATGTATTTTTCATCTTTATTCTTGCCCAGCTGTTGAAGCGACTGAGGCTGCTGGACTTTTGCCTTCCTTCTCTGGGAACAGCCATGATGTTTATTTAATCATTACTTGATTTATAGTAATCTTTTTGAAGTGTTGAGTTTCACTGTAACTGATTTAAAAACATTTTCTATGATCTTGCAGTCTGCTGGGCTTTTTTAAAGCTAATCCTCGGTTCGCCCAGGGAATTACTTCAGATGGGGTTCTGGTTAACCTGTGGTTGCAGAGCTGGTGGCTGTTTGGCATCCCAGAGCCAGGACATGTGTATGCAGAGTGGCCTTGGAGCAGAAGTGTCTGCATCCAGCCCTCAGAGCGTATGATGTGGTGTCTGCAGAATGCTGTCGGTGCATGTCTGAGATGCAAAAACACTTCCTGAAGTGAAGCAAAGCAAAAAACACCGAGGGATAATTATGAGTCAAAATGGAGCAGCCAACCTGGCCAGACAACCACAGATCCATTCAGTGGCACATGTTTCTTCGCGGGAATATATGTTTCCAATTATTCAAATGAATTTATGAGCACCACAAACTGTTCAGTGGCTGAGAACAACTTATTTTTATTCCAAAGTAAGCCATCTGTTTGAGCCTCCAAGGAGAACTCCCTGTAGTCCGTCATGGAGACAGGACATCCATCAGAGAAGAAAAATTAGCAGTAATTTATCCCTCCAATACTTCCCCCTGATCTGGACCATATGCTTGCATTTTTCATGGTAAAAGAAAAAAATGAGAGGAAACAGATCAAACTCTGAGGGGAGGAAGTAAAAATCACAAAAACAGAAAGGTTCATCTACCTACCATGAAGTATTTACATAAGGTTTAAATGTAGGTCTTCTTACGGCGTGCTAACGCTACGTATGCTACCTCACCTCATCCAGGATCTGATAATAGGAAACTTTTCAATTAGTCATATTTCCGTCTCTGCGTCGGACTGAGTTTCTCGTCTCTAAAAACAGAAGTTTCTCTGATAAAATGCTGATCCCACTTTTTACTGACTGACTGAAAGTACTAGATTATTTCTGAACTGCACAATTATTTTTTGTTCTCAGACACATCGATAAACCATATCTACCATAAAATCAAACAAACATCAATGCAGGAATGGGAGGTTTTCTCTGGAGCTTCCAGCTTCTGGCGATGCAGGAATTTGATGTCTCCTGTTCCTGTTAACCTCCTGCTGCTTTTCAGTGTCACAGTTAAAACCACAGAATGCACATTGTTAAAGTATGGCCTATATTTATGCTGCAACGAGCAAAAATATGCAATATTTTAGAAATGTACTGTAATCTGCAGCATAAATAGGTCCTGTTGAGGTTTGAAGACGTGCTTCAGACTCGATCAGTCGGTGCTCTGCAGTTTATAACATACCTTCATGCTGTGGACAGATGGGAACCTGAGGGGAAAACAGCATGGAGAGTTTATCTAGACTCTGATAAATGAAGTGATAAATGGACAAGAGCTACAGTAGGGAACTTTGATCACTGCACAATAAAAGCTCAAAGCTAAATCAAACAGTTCTTCAGTTCAACAAACAGCGTTTCAGGTGTCATAATATAGCCAAAGCCTCCCTGCATGTTATTGTAGACTTTACCTAATGTCTTTAATATGTGATGTTATCAGATGAACGGCCTCAGCGATGATCGGATTTAGTTTATGGAGATAAAACACAGAAAAGAAACACATTTTCTCTCTTGTTTTTCATTTTCCAACATCCAGATTTTATTCTGTTCTCCTGCAGCAGTTCACATTTTAAGGGCCTAAAAGTGAAACGGTCACTTTCACTGAGACACTGTGGGATGTCAGCAGTTTCACAATCTGGTTTTGGTGCTTGGGGACATAATTCTTCCTTTAGGAAAGACATGACATTCAGCATGTAGTCAGCAGATGAAGAGCTGACATTCTTAAAGGAACCAATCTATTGTCAAAGTCGCTAACATCACCAAAGGGGATGGAGTTGGAGTTGCATTTTCCACAGAGGGTTAAACACGCTCCTCCTTTCTTACCCTACTGAATGAGGCAGAGAACAGGCACAAGAGGAAGGACTGAGCAGAGTGTCTGGTGATTGTTTAATATTTTATGGTTTTCTGCAGAATTAATGTATTTTGTCCAACATCAGACCCCCCCCACCCTGTTTGACTTCAGGTACAGAATCATGTTCCTTTTCTCTCAGAGACTTTTGTCTCATCCGTTCACAGAATATTTTTCCAAAAGTTTTCATTAAGAAGATTTTTCGATAACAGGGGACGGATCTTTGTGACCTTTTGGTTAAAACTCTCCCATCTTTATTACTGTTGAATCATGACCTCTGACCCTTACTGAGGACGTGAGGCCTGCAGGTCCTTGCATGCTGGAGCCTCCAGAGTGAGTCAGGAGCTGTTGGAGTGTTTTGGTGCTCCAGCTTTACCCAGTCAGCTCAGGGAGAGCTAAAGATGCTGCAGGTTTGTGCTGCCAAACTTCTTCTTTCATTTCTTTCTGCTCCTTTTGCACCGTAAGGCTCGCTCCTCTAACTGGTAGTGAGATCTGAACTACCAGTGAGACTTGGGCCATGAAGTTTGTCATGCAGTGAACTGTGAATGCAACTGGTGAGTTGTGAATAAAATGTTTGTTTGTTTTAGCATGCTAGTGTTGGTAGCTAATGCTAACTGGTTTGGGCTGCATTTGCAGCTGATGGTAACATAGTTCAACATTTTAAGAACTTATTGAATTTAAGTTGGTATCATAAATGAAAATGCCTCTTAGGCAGGTAATGCATTCTGTGAGATATTAATATGGCACATAAACCAGTGAAAAACCTTGAATTATTGGTGAGGAATATTCAAATTATACACATTTGTGAATATAACTGCATGTATTTGTCTGATTTATGTGAACACAAGAACCATTGAAAAATGTCTAGTTAAGTTTTTAACTAGCAGTGATAATAATTTACTAGTCCTGTTAATGTTAATGCTGGCCAGGTGACCTTATGGAGTTTAAAGATACTGAAATCAGATAAATAAAATCATGGACCGTCTTTGTTTAATGTGTCTCAGTTGGTAACTTTGCTGATTTGTGTCTTCTTTGCATTTTCAACAAACCTTGTGCACATTAACTTTGAAAGTTAGCTGCAGTATTGTACATATTCCTGTTTATTTTATGGGTTATTCTATGTATGTTTAATTTTTTGTGGTGTTTCCTTTAATTTCTCCAGATATGTGGCACTAAAAACAATCATTATCCTCTATTTCTTAATAATTTCTGTTAGCTCCAGTAGTCGTTCCGTCTGAGTTTACATAACATCTATAGTAGCATAATCAGTGCTACATTTAGCCTTTGTAACCGTCTGATAGATGTCAGTGACTTTGTTCTCATCTGTTCTTGATGTTAGGTGTTGGGTTTAGAGACATGATGTTTTACTTACTCAGCCTCTGAACTCTAAAGAAATCTGCAGAGAGGGAAATACCTCTGGTACTCCAGGCATGCAGATACATTTCTGCTTCTGATGGATTTACGTTTCAGGAGAAGTGAAGAATTGATTCAGTGACCTGTCGCCATGCCAACGCATGTATCCATGTCCTAAATAAACCTGAGAAGTGTTTTTAAAGGAGTACAAATGTCTGTTTTTATACCCAGACTGCTCTTCTGTTCATCCAGCAGCCTTTTCCTTTTCTTTAGACCATCAAACTTTATGATTGCATTAACTTATGAATGCCAACAAGCCACGTTTAATCTTCAACCTCACAGCCTCAGTTTCTGTCATTCATGCCAGTTTTCAATTTAAGTTGAATTGTAGCATTCCTGTTGCGGTTCTTTTGGCTTGAAATGACACTAAAGTCAGTAAATATACCATTTATGAAGCAACATGTAGTTCTCCATTAAAGTCTGAGGAACTGGCTGCAAAATTATATTTGAAAATGTGTTTAGATTTTTATATAGAGGAGCAGAAAATCATGCAGTTTTTTAAACAAGGGAACACAATAGTATTTTAAAACAGTTTTAATTAAAATTAGTTTTATTTGTGTTGTATAATTATACAAAGTTCCTACTGAAAAATCTGGATTTTTTTCACCATTGTAGGTAAATATGGAGAAAGTGAAGATTTGTCTGATTTGATTAAGGATGAAATGATTTTTCAGTATTTCATTTTATCAGAGGTTTGATTTTATCCTTCATTTACCGTTCCCTATGTATTCTTTTTGTCCTTCCTATAAGTTACCAGATTACATGTTGGTAGTTAGAGTAATAAGTTATTTATGGAATAATTCAGCGTAAAGTTGGAATATTTTGTTAATAAATTCTCAGACTTGATTGGAAATAAGCGTCAATGATCGATCCTTGTGAAATGTTTCCTCTGTTCCGTGGTTTTGAATTAAATCATTCACAAGAAACTGACGAGGTTCACTTAAGATCCCAGAAATTAATCCTAATTATGAACAATTACATCAGCCAAATGCAAATATTGATTCTCATCTTAGCGTACGGTTTATTTTTGAAGCAGTGAATTTCTGACTGGTTGAAGACTCTCACACAGGACTTTTGACAAATTTACTTTAAAAATGGTTTAAACTCAACAAATTTGATTATAGGAAAATTGGTAACACTTTATTTGAAGGGGTGTGCATAAGACTGACATGACACTGTCATGAACATGAAGAAGTCTTTATGAATGTGAAAGTCTATTAAAAATGCCAACTTTGCATTAAATTTTCATTATTTACAAAATCATGCAAAGTTGGCACTTTAAATGGACTTTTAGGGCAACTTTGCATTAAAATGTCATTATTTACCTCATGACATCAGTCATAGACATTCATAAAGACTTCTTCATGTTCATGACAGTGTCATGTCAGTCTTATGCAGACCCCTTCAAATAAAGTGTTACTGGAAAATTATTAGCATTAGAGATTATGACATGCAGGACCAAATAAACAGAGCAAGCATTAACTCAGAACCAGGTTGAATAAATCAGGTAACAAGTCATAGAAAAAACAATAAATCTATTAATGTCTTGACCTGTGAAAAAGTTTAAAAAATTTCTCTTTCGCCAACAGTGTTTGTTATTTTATGAAACTGCTGCTTAGCTGAAGCCTTCTCCTTTCTCCTTCTCTTAAGATTAAAACTGAACTTACAAAAACAGATCAGGTCCCAGGACGACCAGGCCGACTTGGACCGGACCCGATCCACATGGATACTGGAGCAGAAATGAATCGATCTGACGGAGCTGCTGTAGGAAATGATCAGGCAGTTACCAAAGCATCCAACAGTGAAGGAGAAGAGCGTAGATAGGTAGTCTTCCTTCGACAGCGTTGCCAGACTCTGGTGAAGCAGGTTAAAGGTTTGGAGCTGCAGCCTGGTGGCTGCATCAGCAGTCTGGGTCTCTGGTTTGGCAACATTTCTCTGGGAGGTAAAGGAGCCGCAGCAGTTCATCCGTTCTGCTTCATTTCTGTTTGGCAGCGATCAAGGACTTTGTCGCTACGCGTTTTAAAAAGCATAATTTAATTTAGCAGCACCCGGAGGGCCTTTTTCTGCTTTCTTCTTCTTCTATTAATTTTTAAGCATATTAAGATGTTCCAGAAATCTGTAAATAACCTTCGAAATGAGATCCATCTGGTTCAGTTATTTCTTCCAAGCAGGCTGGGATTAAAAGCTCACATTCAGGTCACACAGCTTCTGGTCGCTGCTGATTAAGAAGCAAATTCATTATTTGAAGGCATGTCTGGAATCCTTGAAGACTTCTCCAACAATCTGGCTGATTAAACACCAACAGGTTCCTCCTTCAGACAAACCTGATGGTCTGAAGCTCAGCTGGATAAAGAACCCAAAGCAGCTGTGAATCATTCAGTTTGGATTTGAAATCTGGTGCCTACACAGACCACAGCCAAGACAACACAAAGATCAGTTTGTGTTGTCTTTGTAGGCTTCGTCTTCCTAACCTCCATATTTCTCTCCCTTTCCAGCTGCCATCAGTACAGAGAATTTATCAACCTCCCCAGCACTCCCAGTACTCCCAGTAGGGAGTTTCCACAGCTTTTCCACAGGTGCTGAGTGACCTCCACACACCGGGGAACAGATGTTAACATTTGTGGGATTTTAGTGAAGGTAGGAAAGGAGGCGGCCTGGTTCTGTCGCAGGTTTCAGTTTGCATTACGACAAAAGTTTTTCATCTTGAATTTCTGGTGACTTCAGTAAAAATCCATTTCAGTCCCTTCTGGTCCGTTTCATGAAAGTGAGCAGCTGCCTCTGCAGGACAGGAGGTTCCTCACTGACCACAGGACACGTCAAACTGAAATGAGGCTTTTTATGTTCCTCTTGGACCGATAAAGGAACATATCCTTTGAGTTTGAGTCATTTTGGTGCTGATGCTCTCTTATCAACTTAACATTTTCTGATTTTGTTCACATATTTAACTCTGAACCTGCCCATCTACTGGACTCTGACCCGTCTCCTTCCTGAACTGTTTGCAGTTTGAGTCGATCCAGATGCCACCTCCAGGCGCTTAGGAATCAGAAACACGCATGAACCTGACTCTAGGAGCTCTGCAGTCTGTGCTGGCTTCTTTTGATTTTTCCATCATGTCAACGTGTTTGATGTGCTGCTTTGAAATGAAAATCTGTAAAATAGCTCAAAGAACCACAGCATCATCATCTGCACTTTTCTTATCTTTCTAAAATCTTTTTTCAAAACTTCTGAAGTAGTAGAATATAAAATAAAATCTAAGATGTACTTAAAAGATTATTGAGATTTAATGGAGTAAGAAAAACTTCCAGTCAGGTCATTTGAGTTCTTTCTTTTGGAAAAGCTGCAGCCCGTTTCAGAGCCGTGACCGTCCCACAGCAGTTTGTGCAACTTTCACTAAATCCACCGAGTCTTGAAATGCAACACTGCTGCTCTTTATGGGTCTATGAAGACATGAAAAAACAACAGAAAAGGTTAAAGGAATGTGGCTCAGAGCATTTTATGATGCTGTCGTGAAAGCAGAGATTACCAGAGAGGTTTTTGAAGAATTTCACAGGATTGTCTTCCAAAAAACACGAGTCTGTCTGCTGTCTCTCCATTAATGTTTCTATTTTGTGTTTTCTTCTTTTAACAATCATCTTTGTTGTTGTCTGGTTGGTTTTACCCATGAAAACAATCATTAATCTTTCTTCTTCTGAAACATAAATTACAGCTGGATAAAATTTAGCTTTTATTTACTTCTGACTTTTTTCCATTGATTGCAGTTTTAAAAGTTTCCCCTCTCTCTCTCTGTCTCTCTCTCTCTCTCTCTCTCTCTGTCTCTCTCTCTCTCTCTCTCTTTCTCTCTCTCTCTCTCAAATTGTTAAAAGCTTTTCAAACATTTCCACAAACTTCTTCAAAATGTGTCAAATATGAAACAAGTGAATGTGCATCAACAGTGCTTCACCATTCAGAGTCTTTTACTTTATATACGAATAAAATCGTTTCCAGTTTATATCCAGAGTAAAACAGGAATTTAATCTCTTCCGTCTGCCAGGAGAGAAGATCAATGAGATATTAAAACATTTTAGATAAGTCATATCTAGCATAATATTTCTCTTCAAACGGTTTTCAATTCGGTTTTATATGTTATAAAATAACATTTAGCATATTTTCTCAACTTTCCAGCAGCACACTGATCAATGGTATCCAAAGCTTTTTTAAATCTACAAATATATCTACAAAATAATGTATTTTGTCTTTTCAGGCACATATTTCATTAAATATTTCCATCAAGGCCGTTGAATTTGAATCATTTTTATGAAACCATTCTGATCTCTGCATAAAATGCTGCCAGTTGCTTCACAAATCGAATCAGCAAACATATAATTTCTCTAAAAAAGTTTTTATTTCAGGATTTGAGAAAAATATTTGTCACTATTTTCATGAGGTAAAATAACTTTGACTACTGTCATATTTTCAGGAAAAACAATAATTTTTCACAGTAATATTCTGTGTAATGTTGGCAGTTTATCATATTGTTTTGTGGTATTTTTGCCTCCCGTGGCATTTTAATAACATTGAGAATTTGACTCTTCTGTAGTATAAAGACATTTTAATAGCAAAGTTTCATTTGAGAGTTTAACTGCTTCATTTGTTTGCTAAAGTATCTTAAAAACACAGGGGTGCATATTTGGATTTTACAGTTTTAACTTCTTCATGTTCAAAACGACTTTCCCCTAGAATAAAAACCATAGGAATCCCAATTAAAGTCAGTTTTTATGCACCTCTAAATGGTTATTAAATCACAAAGTGTTTATTATTAACACATGAGATGACCTCTTATGTAATCCTGGAAAAACATTAAGTCATTACTCATTTTTACGACAAAAACAACAGAATAAGTCAAAGCGGCCTGTTTGAGCTGGAGGTGTTAAGGGACTACCAAACGTTTCAGGTTCCGACCCAAACTCTACAGACGGTTTATTTGACAAAACCACAATCCCTCCCTAAAATTTACATTGCCACAGTTCCCATGAGCAGACATTATCTCTAAAGTGAACATTAAAAACATTTTCTTTGGGAAAAATCAGATGCTAAGACTCACAAATGAGTCTGCAAGATGAAATAAAATCCAAGGGGCTGGACAGATGGAGTAATCTCCTACTG